AAATGGCGAAGCGACCGCTGCCGCATTTGCAGATGCGTTGCCTACCCTTATACGACGGAGGAGGAGACGCACATAAAGAGGATATTTCCCCTTCCTATGCATCTTCTCCACCGTCAAATCCACTTCCTCTTCCCAACCTCTCCTTATAAGAAAAGGGTGTTAAAGAGAAAGGGACTTAAATTAGGCCTCCGGCACCACACTCATCAGACGAAACACGGAATTGCTTCCATTTCACGCCTATCTTCTGTGTGGTCGTGGTATTACACCAGGCGTGCCGGCCCATTCGTGCCAAGATGTTAAAGCGGGCACTACCACTGTTATTTCAATATGTTCTAAAGTTTAAAGAGAAACAACACGGAATAAATAAATACTCTCGAAGTTTTGCATTGAAATGTCAATATATATATTTTTAATATTCATAAATTCAATATACATTATAATATCAAGTAAACTGAATTACTATAATTTATATAGGCAATATTTTAACACGTTTTAATCTATAGGTAAGTAACAATCTAGAGTGCTCAGTGTAACAAGTTAGCAGAGCGGGGGCGCGAGCGCGGGCGCGAGCGCGGGGCGGGCGGGCGCTTGCCGACACGCGGCGGACTCGCTCTACCTATGGCAATAGGAATTCACGTTTGCTTAACATTACACTAAACCTATGAATGTACAAGGAAGAAATACTTTGCAATATCACTATTACAAGTATAACTAAACTTTGCCACAGTACATAATGCCGTTATATTTAAAAATATTTTTTCCTTGTACCTAATATAATTATTAATTTGAACGTCTTAAAAATATTTTTGGCACAGAACTTAAAACCTTAACTACACTGACGACGGGATGATTATATTTTACAAAAGTCCACGTCTTTTTACATAATTATTCTTTGGTTTGTCTAGCCCACCGGTAATTTAGAATAGCTTACAATAAAATTATAATAAAATATGAAATAGTTCAAACAGATCTAATATTATTATGATATATAATTACTTATGTGAATGTAAATAGATATTGTACAGTATTTAGTTGGGCACACGGCGCGGCCACAGTCGGCCGTCTCCCGTCTCTCGGCTCGCTGCTCCCTCTCGACCAGAATGTCCTAACTATACTATTATGCGATATCTGCTATAATTTACGTAATTCGTTGCATAGAAACCTTTGAAATTAACTTTTTCTACTTACAATTACACTATAGAAATAATCATTAGTTGCATCTTAAAATGTATTTGCTTAGGAACTTTCTGTTCTACTTTAGTGGTGAAGAGTCCTCGAACATGCGTAAGTACTCCACTTTCTCACTGCCCATACTTAATATGTTTTTTAGTTCGTTATAACGTAACATATTATGTAGGTATATCGACTGCAATTAATGTGCGTCGTGAGTCGAGTGGCTCAAACGAGAATGAGGAAAGACGTATGGAGATGTATGAAGAGATACGAGGATAACGGTCTCGAACACAAAACTGCATGTGATCATCATCAAGGGAAAGTAAAATTAAGTACATCTTTCACTTTGATTATATAAAAAAAAATTGGCGCGTACTTTCCGTTGCATAATAAGATCGATCGTAAGATATCACATAATTTTATCTACAATAATTTACAATCATTTTAAGAAATATTTGTAATATAACATGTAGTAGGCACGAAACTGAAAATTATAATTTTCATTTATAATACATTAGTTAAAATTTTTAAAATACGAGTAATTCTTATTGTATTGTTGAGATGACCCTTATTGTCACACATTGTTGCCTGTCCCCGGGAAGGCGCGGGGGTCGGACCCGGCGAGCGCCCGCCGCGCCCCCCGCACCCCCCGGACGTGCACAACGCACATGCAGAGACGTAACAAGCGATTCTATTTACACATAAAATATTTTATTTACAACAATTAGTATATACAACACACGACAACTAATCTTTGGACTAAACTAGAGTTTATAACACAGCAGAGATCCCACTCGAGTATTATGGAATGCTTTCAACTTAAGTAAGATTGTATCTAGCTAGCACTTATCTCCTTACCTACTTTATATTAAGTTACTACGACTCTACGTTTATTTCTTAAATATTTTAAACAACAAAAGATAAATTTTTAACCTCTTGCGAGTACACAAGAAACATTTTAATATACCTTAAAGATTCTCAAATACTGATTTCCCCTATCGACATACAAGTTCGACGTCGACCGCTCTAGTTTGTAGAACATCTCTAGTTTATGTACTTTATCGTACGTATATAGTCGTAGTTAACATTAGTGCACACGCAACGAAGTTATTAAAAAAATATTATGTACATACAACTGACATTTCGTCCGAACGCGATCTGATAAAATCTCTTCATTCGTACATTACTTTACACCTACAGTACGATATAAAAAATGGCGAGAATTATGCACAGGTACTGGGCTTTGGTTTCAGGTCGCTGCGAATGCGACGTATGCATTGTAACAATGACAGATTAAAATTAAAAATAAAACAGCAAACAGAATTTGGTGCTAGCGACAGTTCATTCTCTTTGACTCCGTACAACCTGACACAACACGCATCCGAGCATTACCTTACTTAACGAAATACCGAGCGACGAATACTTATTTTACTTATTGATATCTAGTATGTGATGCTTTGAAACTATCGCACGACGACGACGGAGGCGGGCTCGGGGGGCTCGGGGGGCTCGGGGGGCGCGGCGGGCGCGGCGGGCGCGGAAAGCCGCGGGCAGCTAGTCCCTGTAGGGCTTGCAGATGGCGAAGCGGTGGTTCATGTGCTGGCTGTAGGAGCCGGAGTGCGAGAACTTCTTGAGGCACTTGCAACACTGGAAGGGCTTCTCGCCCGTGTGCAACCGCTTGTGCTCCGTGAGGTGGTGCTTGTGCTTGAACGCCTTCGGGCACTCCTCGCACTTGTACGGCCGCTGACCTGCAACACGACACACAACATTACCCTTCCACTCCGCAACTTGCGCTGCCCGCGCGAGGATGCGGACGGTGTTTTTGTTTTATATCTTTACGAAAACTTGTACTTCAACAAAAAGTTATTGAGCTACGATTATTAATGAAATGGACTTGTAGTAAGTTATAACATCGACTTGGTTTCGGTTTTTTTCATACAATAGTAACTGAGTGCAGTGGTACTAACCTGAGTGCTCGTACTTGTGCCGCGCGAGTGAACTTTGTTTGACAAAGGTCTTATCGCACTGATTGCACACGAATTGTCCCTCCCCTTCTTTCAGTTCCGTTTTCATTTTCTTTTTAAACAGTGCTGCGTCGTCGTCGAAGTCGGCCGGTAGCGGCGCCTCGTCCCAAGCGGCGCGCTCGCCGCGTTCGGCGCGCTCGCCGCGTTCGGCGCGCTCGTAGCCCGGACTGGGCGCAGGCACCCGCGCCATGTCGTTGTATTGTAGGAGGGTATCCATCGGTATCATTGGATTGACGGACAACTTTTTGGAGAACATTCGTTTGTGCCCGAGCACTACGTCCGCCGGCGAGGGCGACACCATAAAGTCGGAGAAAGAGGAGGAGGAGCAGTTGGAAGGCGGGTAGGCGGGGGCGGCCAGGCCCGGCGGCGCTCGCAGCGGTGTGGTGCTGCGCGACGACTTCTGACTCAGGTTCACAGCCTCCTCGCAGTCGGAGAGCGCGGGGGTGCCGGGCGTGGCAGGCGCGCTGCCCGGCGACGACGGGCTCGGGCTGGACGCCAGAGACGGACTCGACTTCTTGGTTGACAAATCGAGCGGTTGATCCGAGTGGACGACGGGTTGTGTCATTCTCCGCACCCTGGCTCTATTGTTTTGGAACCATACTTGAACGACTCGGTTGTCCAGACCGATTTGTTGTGCGATTTTCTTGAATTCCTCCCTATTTGGTCGAGAATTTACTGCGTAGTATTCTTTTAAAACTTGCTGCTGCTCCTCGCTCAACGCGGTTCGCACTCTGATTTTCCTATCCGTATCGTGGATCGACATTTTGTCGTCGCGATCGTCCCGCGTCGTAACAGTGTCGTCGTCGTCGCTGGCGCCGGCGCCGCGCGCGCTCGCCTGCAGCTCGGCCTCCAGTCTACTGAGCGCCACGGTCTCGGCCACCTGAGCGGCGAGACCTTCGTGCTTCCTAAAGAGGTTTCCGCAGACTAACTTCTCGTGCTCTATTAGATCACTTTTGTTTTTGAAAGACATACTACATTTATAGCATACGAAGTCGTCGACGACCTCGTCTTTTATCGTAATCCGGGGTGAAAGCTCTCTCGCGGGATATGTTTCGTCCGCAGGAGATGCGCTTTTTATTCTTTCCATATAGAGATGTTCCGCGCGGCGCTTCCTGGGTGATATAACGATATCGTGTTTTATATCGTCTGAAATATTTTTGGATTCACAAATCGAGTCGGGGGACCTCGGTCTAAAATCGTTTTCCATATTTTCGTTTTCTCTTTTAATAGCTACCGATTCGTCATCCTCTATGTCCATGACGAGCTCCGCGCTGCCCTCGGATCGCTTGTCATCTTCCTCTGTGATTTCTTCTATCATATCCTCAGGGTTCGTCGCGAGAGGACTACTCAGTTTTGCATCAATTACATTCTCTATTTTTCTCTGATGATACTGTGTTGAAGCAATTCGCTCGAAGAGTTGGCTGAGGGTGGAAGGAAAGCTGTAGGGCGCGATGCCGGCCGCTGGGCTGAGGGGCACTCCGGTCGGCAGATAGAAGGGGTTGAGCGCTGGCTGGGGGAGGGGTGTGCGGGAGAAGTTATTATCCTGCGCAGACATCGAAGCGAAGAAGGCAGTCGCGTCGTTGTACTTCGGCATGAGGGGCAGGAAGGCGCCGTTAGGCAGCAGGTTGTTGTTTAGGTGGGAGGCGACCAGCGCACTCGCAGAGGCGCGTTTCCGAGCCGGGCTGCGGTTGGGGTTGAGCGCCGGGTTGTTGGGTTTGATCCGGCCCATCTTGAGGTTCATAACGAGGCACTTCTTGGACGTGGTGTGGCTAGAGTAGGAGCCCGAGTGGGAGAACTTCTTGCCACAGTTGGCGCATTCGAAGGGCTTCTCGCCGCTGTGTATGCGGAGATGTTCCTTCAGGTGGTGCTTGAACTTGAACGCCTTGTCGCAGTCGTTGCACTTGTACTTGCGCAGGACGGCGCTCTCGTCGTGGCTCAGCATATGCCGCTGTAGCCGGTACACGTTCTGGAAGCTCTTGTGGCAGATCTTGCAAGTCTGTACGACAAAAAACACCATTATCATTCTATAATATTCGCTCAAACGTAGAAAAAATAATTGTCAGAGAAGAAAAAATGGCCGATGTCCCCCGGCATATCTCGAAAGGATTGTTTAAGAACAAAACATTAGAAGAACATTATTTCCGGCACGTGTTTATAATTAGATTGTTTTGTGTATGTGTATAGAACAGTGGCGCTAGCAGTGGACCGGTTAATATTTGGGCATCGGCCCCCTTGAGGACTGCTGCGAGGAACCAACTGCTTGACTCCACAAGCTTTGCCAACATGCTATCATGCCTACAATTGCTAATAATAGGATAAAAATAAACTTTCGCCCTTCTAGATAAAGTGTAAACAGTCCATAACATATCAGGGAATAGCAAAGGCGGGCAGTGGGCAATGGGCACTAAGCAGCAGTAAGTCGGGACAGGCAGGCGAGTGAGAATGAGAAGGGCACTGACATATTGCAGGGTATCCACCTGAGTGCTGGGCGCGTGCAGTGTCTCGTGCCGCTCGAGCTGCGCACGCGATGGGTAGGCGCCGCGACACTGCGCGCAGCGGTGGGGCCCGCCGGGGCCCAGCGGTGACCCTCCGCGGTCCTCCTCCTCCTCGCCCGCCGCCGCGCCCTCCACGGCCCCGCTCGCGCTTCCACCCGCGCCTACACCTGTGCCTCCCAGCGGCCGGACTGTGAACAACAAAAAATTACCTTATTCTATCTACCTAATCCAGTGGGACATTTTTTCTCTCAATATAACCCTATGCCAATTATATTACAACCCGCATAATACGATTTCCCACTTAATATACGCTATTTTACATAAAATGCTGGTCCCATCAGCTTGAGACATTTTTTTCATATATTTCTTAATGCTTAATACAATCGTTATCCCGTTTACTACGCCTATTCGCCAACACGCACCACACGGATTTTTCTTTTGGCAGCCGGATTAAAACTGCCCTGTTTTATACGAAATAACGCGTTAACTTATTAAAGCTTATTAATTTCAGATTAAAAGGCTTTAAATGGCTAAATAGATCAATTTAAACTCGCCACAACATTGTGTACCGCGTTATTGGTAGGTAATCGGAGACAGCGGCACAAGATTTTGGTTTATACGATGGCATTGAGGTTTATTGCAAATACTCGTATATGGTATGCACCGCATCGCAAAACCATTTTTAACGTGTACGAACTCTATTTTTTAAAATTTATCTTTAAATAAATGACAATGTTTTGTTGATTTTAAAGGAGGAGCAACGACGTAGTTATGTATTTAGTTGAGGTGTTTAGTACAATATTTGCTGACACACGCACGCAATTTTAACCGAATAGTTTCATTCTTCTAAACCTGAGCGTCTGTAGCAGGCATGAAAAGTGCCGGCTGTAAATCATACGTAATAAAGAGCAAAGCAACGCCGCGATGTATTAATTAGTGCGGCCGCGTCCGCCGAGTCCTACATGTATTGAATTTTAGGAATTATGAGATCGTAAAGTACGCACTAGCACTATCGCCGCGTGGCGGATGACAGAGATAACGTCGCGCACAATGCATTGTCGCTTCCCTAAGGGCAGCCACACACGTTTCGGTGCGAGAGATCGGCGTGCGGACAGCAGCATTTTTTAGCCGCGACACTAACCTGTATGGCGGACATTAACTAGCGCTTCACCATCTCCATACTCTGTGATGGTCTATAAGGCGATGTAATCGAAATATGGAACGAACTGCTTGTTCGGTGTAGATGCAATCGGTTCCCTAAATTCAAAGACAAACTGTGTTTTTTTTCAATTTTGCAATTTTACTATATAGGTAGATTGTTGGTAGCCGGACCTAATTTTATTTACTTGTTCAAATCCTGAATCAGTTCGGTCGTTCGCGGGGCTTGCGGGGTCTGTGCGGAAAGGGCGTTTGAACCAACAACGGAGTTTATATAGTCCGTACGAAAGTGGTGCTTACAGGTGCATCTGTAGTGCAGCATCGCTGGCGACTATAGATCATTTGACATGTCCGAGTATGCTGCCAGTGAGCATACTCGTAATATTGTTAAGTCATAAACTCGTCGATTTCTGCGCACTCTACTTACTCGGACTAACTATTATAAGAATCACGATTAAAACAAAAAGCCTTCGACGTTTATCGGCTTGTCAATTTTTACAACAAAAATCTTTTAAATCCTTAGATTATGAAAAGGTTAATATTGTAGGCGGTTTTATTTCTTTTCTTAGTTATAAAATGTTGTCACAGATAAAGACATAAAGATTTTCAAATAATTTAAATGAAATAGTTTAATATAGCCGATTAGAAACGGTTGTATCAAAATTGTCACTATTTTGAACTTCAGATTACATTTAATTATGCTACTTGATAACAGATGGCGCTAGTAGTCGCGTGAAGAAATCTTAAAATTTTCTACGTTTATATTATTCAAATTTACTCACATTAAAAGATAATTAAATGAAATTCTTATTTTAGTCTTCATTCTAATGCATAAGGGAGAGTTATAAATAAATTGTACTTCAGTTGCGAGTTCTATTGTGTCCTGTTTGCAGCAGCAGCAACACACACATATGTACGAGTAGTGTGCGCACACTACCACTGAAGTAGGTACCTACGTAATAAGCATAACACAAAGGAATCTTACAATAAATGTTAAAACATTGAATAGATTGTATCTATAGAATTAATAAATAAAAAGTCATTGCATCAAATTGTAATACCGAACTTAGATATTCTACACTACATTATTGTTATACTTACTTACTTTATCATTTTACTTTTTGCTTTTTTATTTTTGTTGTTAGATTTTATTTGTAAAACAAATGAAGCAATGGTATTATTTAATTAAAAGTCTGTTCCCACGTAGTTATTATCGGAGTGGGTTTATAAGTTAATTCGAACATGCATAGTATTTTGTAAGGTGTTCACAGCCGGCTTTCTCTTCTTGCCAACAGTTTTTGTAAATGACATATATCAAAACAATCTAATTCTTAGTGGTAATTAGCCATGTAGGAAGACATGTAGCTGTGGCGAGCAGAATTTCGCGTGTGGGCGGGGCCGACGGCGGCGCGGCGCAGCTGTCGCCGGCCCTCGGCCCCGGCCAGCGGCCAGCGGCGAGCGGCGAGCGGCCGCACTGCTGATGGCAGCGCGGTGTCTCATTGTATCTACTACTGCTCCCATATGTCTTTTTTAATTACTCGTGTCTATTGGACATAAAATAACTGTGTTTGCTGATTATTTTCTTTACACAAAATGTTTAAATATTTTGTGTAATTTAAGTGCAATTACTTCTATAGATACAATCATATTTACATCTGAACGACTCTATTATTATATGGAGCATTGTAACCTAACCTATTCTTACTGATCTTATTTAATAACTCCGGATCACTAGACACTTGTTCCGCCATACAACTTGTAAAAATGTTTTTGTAATTTCGATATCGCGTTTTCACTGTTATTTGTTATGTTAGTAGAGGACACTTGCGTAGCGCGATTGCGCCCACATGCCACATCGCCACATGGCACATGCCACACCGCCACAACGCATCGTCTGCAATAACTTTTGTTGCATTAGCACATGATCTTTATTTTCGCGTCGTAAAATGCGCCGAATTTGTCATGTTTAATGTTCTCTTTCAAAAACAATTTCAGATGTAGTCGTTGAATATTACACGACTGCTCACTTTCATTTATCCTCTACGGAATTTTTATTTTTCAATAACATACATTCCTTGTTTTATAAAAAGATATGACACGTATTAAGAAACTATCCCGATACCTACACATACTCGTACTCGTACTCGTACTCGTACTCGTATAATGCAGTATACTAAAGAATACAAAAGTTGTTACTCACAGTACACAGTTGATAGATCGATGACAGTACTTAGATTAGTAGTCGTTTATTTCATTATTTGCTGTGAAGCCACTCACTTCTACGGTGCAGATCATAATAAATAACTTCCGCGAAGTTTGTAACAAGACAGTCAATAACAGAACATTGCTGCGAGCGCGGGCTGCTCGCTGCTGGGTGGTGCCGGCCGCAGCAGGGGCAGGCCGAGGTGAGGGGCGAGGCACGACTGCCAGACCGACGGGACACCGTAAGGTAAATCACTGTGTTGTTCAAACACAGATTAAGGAGTTATTAGACTTGTGTTTGTCCGAGTTAATGAATCCATTAATTAGTTGACACGCAGCAAATGGTGAGCGACAGCGAGGTGGCAGCGGCAGTGATTAGGATTCGGCAAATGTTTACGTACAGACAAACAGATAATTACGGTAACGAATGCTGCCGCTCGCTAATGTGTTTCACTTTTATAAACTGACTAGCTCTTTTCCGCGACTTCGTCAGCGAGGAATTGATTAAAACTAGCATAAGTTACACGCATTACCTATCTTTTAGTAAAAGCCCCATCAAAATCAAAGCAGCCGTTTCGGTGATTATCCGGAACAAACGCGGATTTGCGGACGGACAGACAGTCAGAAATTTAAAAAAATGGATTATCATTATAAACACAAACATCATGTTCTTGACATATTGATAATGCAAACAGACTCCAATTTTGTGAATTGTATAGCTGCGAAGTGGCGTTGGCGTGATGTATGCAGATTGAGGGATATTTATTTTTTATCACTTCACTGTACTCTTACACTTGTACTTAAACAACATGGGATTTTAAAATTTTCACTTGATAAAACAACATTTATTTTTTGTAGAAGTGGGCAAACGACTGGAGGTCGCCTAATATTACCTAGCTGATTAAAGTACCATAAAGATAAAGGCAAGTCATAACTGTTTGAAAATACCGCTGAGGACAATGTAATCAACAAATCGGTTGTTCAAAATAGTAAAATACGCGAAAACCTCGTCGTTTTGGAATAACAATAATTTAGCGATAAAGGATGAAATTAGGTGCTTTGTTGAGTTGTGCGATGTCGGCACTCTGGTGAATGCTTCCTTGGCAAATGTTAAAAATTACGACGCAATTTTAAAACAATTTAGGTATTATATATTATTAACGGTGATGTCGGGCTCACCTTACAGCGGTTTAATGTATTCTACATTATTATGTTATTTATTATTATCAAATAGTTTTTAATAGGAAACATCACACTTGGTTAATGTCCACAAGTTAAGCGGATCACATCACACACGCCATAGTGTAATGATATAAAATTTATCCTGTCTCCGTGCGGGAAGAAAACCAACAGCGCGAGGACCGACAGCGGCTGGCATGAGCCTTGGCATACCACCACCACGACACCACCGCGGGCAGGCGCGGGCAGGATGAATTAAAAGCGACAGAAGAAAAAGCAAATAAATCAAAACAACATAATAATTTACGATTTAAGATGGCCAGAGCCCCCATCTACAACACACAACTTTGTTTCAAGTGTGCGCGTACCTGGGACTCGAGTGTACCAACCACTCTAAGCTCGGAGGAGCCGTGTCTCCAATGAACACTGCTACACTTGTATTTCAGTTAAGCAAGACGTGGGACAAGTTACACCTGAGTTACACCAATTACATTTACTTTAAATTTCAACGTTATTTAACGTTTAATGTTTGTATACATTATGAGAATGAAACTTATGTTTTTAAAGGAAAAGTTAACGTAAAAATAAACTTTTGTAAAGTAACCAGAGGCCATAGAGTCCGATCAAAAAATAAAAAAAACATTTAAAATTGCAAATAAAAAGAAAAGAAAAGAAGCTTACTGAATGCGGCGAGCCTGGCCGAGGTGGTGGAAGTGGGGACCTGCTTACTCCTCATGTCGGCCAGCCAG